CAATTATTTATTTCTGTTATTTATGTTGTTGTTGTTGTTGTTGTTGAAGTTGTTTTTCTTCTCAGCAACATTCCATTCCATACTCACTCACTCACTCACTCACTCACTCACTCACTCACTCACTCACTCACTCACTCACTCACTCACTCACTCACTCACTCACCCTCTCACTCACTCACTCTCAGTGTGTGCGTGTGTGTGTGCGTACGTGCGTGTGTGTGTGTGAGTTGTTTGTAAGGATTGGAGCACAATAACTTAATTGTCTCAGTAATTTAGATGGTTGTTGTTTTAATTTTGGTATGCTAGCTTACTTAACTCACTGTCTCAGATTATGTATTTTTGTGTTGTTTTGTGTGTGTGTGTGTGTGTATGCATAGTGTGTATTTGTGTGATATATATATATATATATATATATATATATATATATATATATATATATATATATATATATATATATATATATATATATATATATATATATATATATATATATATATATATATATATATATATATATATATATATATGAATGTACGTGTATGTATGTAGTTGTATGTGCGTGTGTTGTTGTTGTGCTTGCTTGCGTGCGTGCGTGCGTGAGTGAGTGAATGAGTGAGTGAGTGAATGAATGGAGAGAGAGAGAGAGATGTGGAGGAAAGGTAGGTGTTGTTCCTTTAGATGGAATTTCCATGAGTCAGATGGATGTGTGTATGAGAGGTTATTTGTTATTATTGCCCACTCTAACTTATACTCCCTCTCTTTTTTTATTTTCTTTCCTTTTCCCTCTTTCTTTCTTGGTCTCTCTCTCTCTCTCTCTCTCTCTTTATTGTCCTCTCTCTCTTTCTCTTGTGCGTTTGTGTGTGTTTGTGTGTGCGTGTGTGTTTGTATGTGTGTGTGAGTGTGTGTTTGCGATTGCGTGTGTTTGTGTATGTGTGTGTGTTTGTGCGTGCGTGCGTGTGTGTGTGTATGTATTTTTGTATATATACAGGTCCATTTATTACAACTAACTTTTTGTAATGTTTTTTTTTTCTATTTTCCATGCATTATCTTCGCTTACAGATGCTCTTGTTAGTTAATTTCGCTATTATTATTATTATTAATATTATTATTATTACTATTATTATTATATACTAGATATAAAATTCTTAACATAGAACATCTAAATATTCATCAAACGGTAATATATTTTTTTTTTATATAGAGTTTTTGATTTTTCTACAACTAGCAACATCTTAATTCATTTGAAATAATACTTACAAATAGCCTAAACAGCGGCAAGCTTAAATTTTATTGAAGTGTAGAACTGTAATAGATGATTGGCAGTGGGCCAGTGAGTGGCATAGATCTATGGGATGGGTTATGTCATGGCGTTGTTGATATGAGCATCTTAAAAGCCTCCTAACTTCCTTTCCTTATTTATTTTATCTCATTATTAATCTAAGTGCGAATGAATGTAATGATACTATCCAAGTTAAGTTGAGTGGACATATTTCTAAATCTGGTTATGTGACTTTATTCGATTAAATGTTGTTAATTCCTATTTTTATGCACTTGGTTAAGGTAGTCTGCTCAAGCTTGCTTTTTTGATTGCCTGTGTTATTCTTTTGGCGAATAAACAAATTTTTAAAATTAAAAATAATTATTATTGTTGTTTTTGTTGTTGTTATATTAGTTATTATTATTATTGTTGTTGTTGTTGTTCGTGTCTTACTAAATATTATCCTCACTAACTGTTTGTCGTGTTTCTCTTTTTGTAGTCCAAAACTTTTTTTTGAGATGACTTCGATTGTTTTGTCTCATTGTATCTGTTTGAAGTTATAAAAATGATTCACCATCAAGATTAGATTTACTTTTTCGACTATTTGATTGATTGATTGTTAGATTGATGATTGATTGATGATTGATTGATTGATTGATTTATTGATTGAGTGATAATTGATTGAGTGGTTGGATAATTTAATGTTTGAACGAATGAGTGGTTTAATGAATGAATATCTAAATGATTGAACGAAGAATGAATGATTGATTTAATTGACTGAGTGACTCATTGAATGAACGATTTGTTGAACGATTGATTGAATGAACGAACGAACGAACGAACGAACGAACGAATGAATTAATGAATGAATGTATGAATGAGAGATTAAATGATTGAATGATTGATTGACTTAATTGATCAAATGACTGATTAAACAAATAGCAGAGCTCCACTCACTTCATGCTGGTATTAAATTTGTTTTTGTTAAACTCAAATGAGGACGCCGTCTGAGATATTCGTTCATTCATTCATTCATTCATTCGTTCGTTCGTTCGTTCATTCATTCATTCTTTCATTCATTCGTTCGTTCATTTATACTTTGTAGTTGTTTGTTAGACACCAAATGTTATAGCACTCAGTAATAGTAGTAGTGCTTTATAGTAGTAAAAGCAGCTTTTGAGATTGAGTTAATAGGAGTTGTAGTAGTAGTAAAAGTAGTAACAGTAGTACTACTACTAGTAGTAGTATTAGTATATAATTATATAGTTAACTATTTTTTAACTACTTGAACATATTTTCCTTCAGAATTAATTTTTATCCTTTTAATTGCACATCCCTATTTTCAAATTTGTTCATTAGTTTCCGCGTCAACGTCATTTCTTTTTTTAGCTTTTTCTTTTGTGTACGAGATGCGTTTGATTAATTGTTTAATATACTAAATAATATATAATAATAATATATAGTATAATAAATACTCAAATTATTAAATTGTGCTTTATTGATACCGTTTTATAGAAAGACGACGATAAAAATTTTGTCAAAGCATTTTCTTAGCTAACCCATCTAAGAATATTGAATCTTTATTTTCCTATCCATCAGTATTTGCAAGTTTTATTAAACTAAATTCAACATTACCTAGCTCTGCAATGGTTGAGCGCCTCTTCAGTATTGCTGAACAAATTCTAGCTGATAAACGCTGCAGATTGTCTGATGATCATTCCAATAGAATGATTTTTTGAGAGACCATCTTAAACACACATTTAGCAAAAAAACTTAAAAAAAAACATATGTTGGTTAATAAATTTACAAAAATTTTTCAGAAGGGTTTTTTTTAACAATAATAATAATTAAAAGTAGTTAAAAAGTAGTTAAAAAGTAGTTAACTATTAAGAAGTAGTTAATAACTATGTTTTTAGTCAAGTAGATAACTACAGTAGTTGACTACTAATTTGGTCAGGTTGTGTTAACTGCAGTTCTTTAAATCTAATAGTTATACTAAGAACTATGTTATACTAACCTATGCATAGCTGATACGTCATTATATGAAATAATAACTATATATATATATATATATATATATATATATATATATATATAAATTTCAAGTGCGCTGGTAGGAAAATTTTCAGTAGTGGTCCTCGACACACATTTTTAAGTGGTTACTGAATCTCACGCAAAAGTGTAAATATTTTCTGAATTTTCTATCTTGATATACTGTCATGACGTTGAACTGGGTGAATTTCAATTGCAATTTCCACCCTTTTAAGATAGGTCGTTTCGTATTTCGGGTATATGTATTTGGTGGTAGGTGTCTCTTAGCGACGACGCAACAACAATATAAATTAATTTAGTAGAGATTATTTTTGTTCATTCAGTCATTTATTCATTCATTCATTCATCCATTCATTCATCCATCCGTCCTTCCATTCATTCATTCATTCATTCATTCATTCATTCATTCATTCGTTAGTTTAGAGATTTGAATTTCTTCTCACCAAAGCTATCAAGGTTGATTGACGTTTATTGTTATTTATAATGTTGAATGAAAATCTACATATCGTCATCATCATCGTCGTCATCATCATCGTCTTGGTGTCATCATTATCGTTATCGTAGTTAATTTGTTGTCATCATCATCATCATCATCACCACCATCATCTTCATCATCCTCACCTCAACATCGTCATCATCCTCACCACCATCATCATCATCACAATCGCCACAGTGCCATCATCATCATCACAATTGCCACAGTGCTATAATCCTAATTATAAAAAGAACTCCCATTATTTGTTATTATGTTAAACGTTAATTAATTAATTAATTAATTAATTAACTAATTAATTAATTTGTTTAATAATGTATTTATTTGTATTCTGTTGTTATAGCGATCAGGCTGCAAATGCACTGTTTATTTTTTTGAAGAAAATGTTCTCTGGCATCATCACTTTTGCTTATGGTTCACAACAACAACAAAAATCATAACAACAACTATAACATCAACAGCAACCACAACATCGAGAACAACAACATCAACAACAACAACAAACATAACATCAGCAACAACACTCACATTAACGTCAACAACAACAACATTATATTATTATTAACGAATGCAACAATTATACAAATAAACGAGCTATAAAAATAGGCGAAATTTAAAGGACTGAAAAAAGCGAATTTTCGAAAGCTAATTAACTATTCATCATCGTTGTCGTCATCGTCAGCATCAACAAGATCATCGTTATCATGACATCTTTAGCAACAACAGCAACATCAACAATAACAACATCAGCAAGAAAAACAGAGAAAGTTGATGTCTCGATTACATGGTTGTATGTCATCCTAGCTTTGCTTCAAAGTTGACGTATAACATTGGATGATAACATTATTAACACGTTAAGATTACATAACAACAAAAACATAAACAGCATCAACAACAACATAGACAATAACGAAAAAAAAAACAGCTACCCCAAACTACTACAACTACTTCATCAACAACAACCAACATAGACCTCAACAACATCAACACAACAACATCAACAACAACACAGACATCAACGTTAACCACATCATCACCACAACTAACTAACTAACTAACAACAACTGCCCCAAACTACTACAACTACTACATCAGCAGCAACATAGACATCAACAACAACACAGACATCAACGTCAACAACAACAACAGAAACATCAACACCACCATTAGCAACAACAAAACAACAATCACCAAAAAATGGCTTCCCCGTTAGCAGACGGTTCTTGGAACTTGACAGTTGAGGTTGAGGAACTCCAGACAGAGAGGGTGGTTCGCGTGAAAGGTGAGACGCACATCGGGGGACTCATGCTCAAGCTCGTCGAAAGTCTGAGTTAGTGGTGGTTGGTTGGCGATTGGTTGGTGGTTGGGTGGAGATGAATAACCAAATGAATGATCGTACGTTTGTTTGTATGAATGAATGAATGAGTGAGTGAATGAATGAATGAATTAATGGAATAGTGAGTGAATGAATGATTGAATGAATGATGAATTGAAATAGTGAATGGATGAATGAATTAATAAAGAAAAGAAAGAAGGAAAGAAGGAATAAATAATCAAATAAATAAATAAATAAATGCCATATTTTCTGACAGCTGACCACCTAGCTGGTCTCCAGTTGCATTATTTTCATATAACATAACATGACATAACAGGGTTTAAAGTGGCTCAGTAGATTAGAGTCTGTCTGAGAACCACTGCTAGATATGTGCGAGATATCACATTTGCTTGTTTGTTTGTTTGTTTGCCACGCTCTACTGCAGCTATTTGCATTGTTAACATTCGTTCATTTTGCGCGAAAGAATTGGTTCAATGCACGTTATGCACGCCATGTTCGAGCTTACTCATTGGTTGATACACATTCACACAACTACACTCACACACACACACACACACACTCACACACACACACACATTCAACTGCACTCACACACGCACATACACACACAACTGCACACACACACACACACTCACAGACATACAGAAAGATTGGTCAGATCATGGCCTGTTCTGGCCGGAGAAGAATGTGTGGCTACTGCGAACCAAATGTACCCTCGATCAACTCGGGGTCACGTCCACTTCGACCTTGACCTTCACCCCCATGCACAAGGTCAGTCAGAGGACAATTTTTTTTGTTTTTACTACTAACCTGATTATTTATAAAGCGCCTAATATAAAAACTCCTGCTGTGTAAAAAAAATTCTTATGTATGTTTGTGTACTTGGGAACATATTTATATCTGGGCATGTGTGCGTGAGACCATATTTAATCATCGGTGGCAGTGCATGTGTGCGTGTGTACGCCTATTTTTTGGTTTGCGTGCGCGTATTTAGTTGTCCTTGTTGCATTTATATGTTGCTCTTTGTTTGTTTGTCTGTACATGCGTTTATGCATTTATATATCGTTATTGTGTTTGTGTGATTGTGTTTGTGTGCGGGGCGTGTGTGTTTGTGTGTGTTTGTGTTTTTGTGTGTATAAGCTTGTTCTTGATAATTTGTGATGTGTGTGTCGTCACACTGCAAACATTAATTAAAAGATTGGAAGAGGTCCTTGGTCCTTGAATGCACCATCATCTCCGTCATCATCTTCAACTTCATCATCCTCTTCATCGTTTTATTCATCATCACCTTTTCCGTCATCATTATCATGATAGTCTTCTTCATCGTCGTTATCACCATCATCATCACCACCAGCACCATCAGGATCGCAATCATCCTCGTCATCATCATCATCATCATCAGATCATTTCATTGTATACATATAAATAGGTTTTAAAGAGTTCTTTGCTGATGACTTTGATGTCAGATGGTTCGGCATGGTAGGAGGAGTTTATATAAGTACACACATGCCTGCATTGCGACGTTGTACTTGCAGCTACTTGTTAGTAGTACACTCAGTGCACTCACTTAATACTATGAGATGGTAATGTTGCATATTCGTTGTGCTGTAAGTTTTGGAGGTGTGTTGTAATGAAGCATCTGCGTCTCGAATCGTTTTTCTCATTATCAATTGAGAATTTTAACGATACGAGATCAAACTAGACAACTTTAAAAGGTTCTCGAATCGAAATATAAATAACGAGACACAATTTTCGTAATTGTTGGTGTTATTTGGTTTATTTGTTTAAAAATGATGACCGACCATACATGGTGAACTTTAAGTTTGTATGTGCGTGCATGTTTGTGTTTGTATGTGTGTGCACATTTGTATGTGTGAGTGTGTGTGGTGTGTGTGTGTGTGTGTGTGTGTGTGTGTGTGTAACAATCACATAACACATATTTGTATATGTGTTATGTGTTTGTTAGTGTATATGTATTTGGTGTTTGTATGTTTATAAGCAACATACTTTCATTGTTTTTACTTGTTTTTATTTTCACAGTTTATGAGTACACGCACGTGCAAAGGTTTGTTTTTGAGCGTATGCATTCGTGCGTGTGTATATGTATGTGCCTGTGTGTATATGTGTGTGTGCATGTGTGTGTATGTGGGTATCTATGTATTTGTGTATGTGTTTATGTGTTAAAATGAAATGAAATATTTATATATGTGAAATGCCTATGTGAAATGAAATATATAAATATATGTGCCTGTGTGTATGTGTGTCCGTGCGTGTGTGTTCTTGCATAATAATAGGCGCAGATAAGGGTTTTCGATGCTCTGAATATTGTGTTTGATCAATATGATGCAATATGGTGATGTTTTGTTAGGACTGACTGGCTGGTTGCCTGACTGGTTTGCTGCGTTTTATTCAGCGTGTCGTGTGTTTTGTCGCTATCGTGCCGGTATTTTGTTGGTATTGTGCTGGTATTATGCTTGTAGTTTGTACTGTGTTGGTATGGTGTTTGTATTGGGTTTAAAACTACTACTTCGTATTATCGTATATATTTTGTTATGTGTTGTAATGTGTTAATGTAATGCGTTGACGTGTGTGTGTCATGACGAGATGACGTAATACGATGATGTCATAATGTGACTGTTGATCTTTTAATGTAATTTAGTTGAGGTTTTTTTGCGATTTTGTGATGTTGTCGTGACGATGTGGTGTTACACTTAGGTCTTAGGATAAACCATAGATGTAATTATTAAAACAGTTTTCTTAAATGAAATATAAAAAAAATTATATAATTGCACTGCATAACAAAACTCTTATGCGCGCAGTACATAAGCCTACTAAGCGATATGAGCGTTTAAAGCTTTCGGGTCTAGAGGCTATTACATCGAGACGTCTATGAGATAAACTACGTTATACTGTACTATGATATGAACTGTTGGTTATGGTTTTATATGTTGAATCTGTTGTCTTTGCCAGGTTTCATTCAAGCCATATATGTTGTTAATGTCGTTTGATATGATGTGGTTGGTGTGGTTGGTGTGGTGTGGTCTGGCTGGTCTGGCTAGTGTGGTGTGGTTGGTGTGGCGTTCATAGCTGTGTTGATCAGTATATTCCCAGAATTCATGATGACGTTGCTGTGTCGTGCCGTCTTCATCTGTAATGTTATCATTATTTTGTATAACTTTATGGCTGTTCATATTAGCAATAGGTTGTAAAGCCGGTTAATTTATTTCAATGACATTTAATTAATTAATTAATTGGTTAATTAAATTACTTACTAATTAATCATTTACTAATCAATCGATCAATCATCAATCAATAAATCAATCGATCAACCAATCCATCGATCAACCAATCCATCGATCGACCAATCCATCGATCAATCCATCGATCAATCAATCAATCAATCAATCGATCAATCAATGTCAAGGTCATAACTTTGGTGCTGCCTGACCTTCGAGAGATGGCATGCGTTTCTGTGGACTTCTCAGTCAACGTTTTCTCCGTTGTTGCCAAACTGTGCAAGGATTTAGGTAAGTTGCTGATGTTAATGATGATGACGGTGATGGTGATGATAATGATGGTGACGGCGATGATGATGATGATGGTGGCGATTATGATGATGATGGTGGTGGTCATGTGGTCGGTAGGGTTTTTTTTGCAGACGCCATCATTTGCGTTTCTTTTTTTTTGTAGTTATGGATTGTTTTTGTCAACACTATATTTGTAAATATTAATATTATTGTTGTTATTGTCGTTGTTGTTTTTTTGTTGTTATTGTTGTTTATTGTTGTTTGTGGTTTGTTGTTGTTATTATTATTATAAAAGGTTTGCTATGCCAATAATATTTTTATGGTACAATATCTGCTTGTTGACCCAACAATTATATTACTTTCAGTAATTTATTGCTTGTTCTGTGCGTGCGTGCGTGTGTGCGTGTGTGTCTGTGTGCGTGTTTGTGTGTGTGTATGTATGTTTAAACTAAATCATGTACGTGTGTGTGTTTGAATATGTGTGTGTGGGCCCGTGTGTACGCTTTTATGTATGTATTTATGTATGTATGTCGTATTCAGTCGTTTCTTTCATTCGTACAATTGTTCATTCATTTTTTATTCAATTAAGCTTTCACTTTTTTTATTTATTCTTGCACTTTTTCATTCATTCATTCATTCATTCATTCATCATTCTTTCGTCTGTATTCATTCATTCATTCGTCTGTATGACCTACCTTCCATCAATCATTCGGGGAGCTGCTTTTAAATGTTCACATTTTGTTTATTCATGATTTATTTCAAATTTCCATTCTTTCTTATTTTCTTATTTGTTTTTGTTATTCATTTTTATTGTAATACACACGCACGCACGCACGCACACACATTCACACACACTTTTACACAATCACGTTTACACACACGCGCGCGCACACGTTCACACACACACGCGCGCGCACACACACACACGCACACACATACTTGGGATTTGCAGTATTGACAATATTGAATGGGTTGATATTGTCTTTCTTGTTAACAAAGTAACATCTGATATAATAAATAATGATGTTCTTGGTTTGTTATACATGGCTTAGTAGAGTTGTTGTTGTTGCTACTATTGATATTATTGCTGATGCTGTTGTTATTGATGTTGTTGTCAATGTTGATATTGTTGACTATGTTGCCTTTGTTGATGTTGTTTTCTATGTTGTTGTTGTAATTATTATTATTGTTGTTGTTGTTTATGTTGATGTTGTCTATGTTGATGTTGATGTTGTCTATGTTGATGTTGAGATTGTTGATGTTATTGATGTTTTTTTAATTTGGTTGATATTGTTGTGTTGCTGATATTGATGTAGATAGTGATGTTAAAATTGTTTGGAGGCCAATGTCCAGGTAGCTCAGACGGCAGAAGTGAAGTAGCATGCTCTACCTACCGAGTAGTTATAGTGCGTTGACCTGGTTCGAATCCGAACACTATTCGTCGGATACTTGAAGACTGTCGTGTGTGTGGTGTGTGTGTGTTCGTGTGTGTACGTGTGTGTATATGTGTTGTGTTGTTTGGCGAGAATGTTATTTTTGGTGTTATTATTGTTACCGTTATTATTGGTCTTGGTTAAGTTATTGTTATTTTTTGGTCTTTGGTGTCATTATTGCTACCATTATTTTTGGTCTTTTGTGTTATTGTTATTTTTGGTCTTTGGTGTTGTTATTGTTATTTTTGGTCTTTGTTGTTGTTATTGTTATTTTTGGTCTTTGGTGTTGTTATTGTTATTTTTGGTCTTTGGTGTTGTTATTGTTATTTTTGGTCTTTGGTGTTGTTATTGCTAATTTTGGTCTTTGGTGTAATTATTGTTATTTTGGTCTTTGGTGTTATTATTGTTATTTTTGGTCTTTGGTGTTGTTATTGTTATTTTTGGTCTTTGGTGTTGTTATTGCTAATTTTGGTCTTTGGTGTAATTATTGTTATTTTGGTCTTTGGTGTTATTATTGTTATTTTTGGTCTTTGGTGTTGTTATTGTTATTTTTGGTCTTTGGTGTTGTTATTGCTAATTTTGGTCTTTGGTGTAATTATTGTTATTTTGGTCTTTGGTGTTATTATTGTTATTTTTGGTCTTTGGTGTTGTTATTGTTATTTTTGGTCTTTGGTGTTGTTATTGCTAATTTTGGTCTTTGGTGTAATTATTGTTATTTTGGTCTTTGGTGTTATTATTGTTATTTTTGGTCTTTGGTGTTGTTATTGTTATTTTTGGTCTTTGGTGTTGTTATTGCTAATTTTGGTCTTTGGTGTAATTATTGTTATTTTGGTCTTTGGTGTTATTATTGTTATTTTTGGTCTTTGGTGTTGTTATTGTTATTTTTGGTCTTTGGTGTTGTTATTGCTAATTTTGGTCTTTGGTGTAATTATTGTTATTTTGGTCTTTGGTGTTATTATTGTTATTTTTGGTCTTTGGTGTTGTTATTGTTATTTTTGGTCTTTGGTGTTGTTATTGCTAATTTTGGTCTTTGGTGTAATTATTGTTATTTTGGTCTTTGGTGTTATTATTGTTATTTTTGGTCTTTGGTGTTGTTATTGTTATTTTTGGTCTTTGGTGTTGTTATTGCTAATTTTGGTCTTTGGTGTAATTATTGTTATTTTGGTCTTTGGTGTTATTATTGTTATTTTTGGTCTTTGGTGTTGTTATTGTTATTTTTGGTCTTTGGTGTTGTTATTGCTAATTTTGGTCTTTGGTGTAATTATTGTTATTTTGGTCTTTGGTGTTAGTGCGAGTGTAGGAGGAGGAGAAGATGGATGTTATCGATTTTGCTCTGTGATGGAAATTTCCGTCCTTGAATCGATGATGATGATGATGTCGATTTCAAGGTTGTTCTTCTTTAGGTTGTTGTAGTTGCTGCAGTTGTTGTTGTTGATATTGTTGTTGTCGATATTGTTGTCTTTGTTGTTGTGACATTGTGGTTGATATTGTTGTTGTTGTTGCTGCTGTTTTGACTATGTTGATGTCGTTGTTGTTACTGTTAATGCCTATTTTATTGTTGTTGTTGATATTGTTGTGTTTC